GGCGGGGGTGGGGGTGGGGGGTCTCCCAGGGTGAATGATGTGTTTTTCTTCCAGGAGATTTGTAAAAACGGTAAGAAGGTCAAAAGCAAAAGTGCTTATCCGGATGAATCTGAAGAACAAAAGAACAAGTCTGCTGCAGGTAACAAACGATCCAGCATTTCCTTAGTGAGGCTTCAGCGTGGTGAGGTGAGGAGGCGGAAAGCTGTACTGCGGGCAATTATTGTTACAATTGTTATTCCCGCCAAGTCATGTTTGAAAAGACCGACCCTCCCCAAGGCAGGGAGCGTCCTCGACTGACCATAAGGCGCCTGTGATCTTATTGGCCCTGAAAGTTTCAGGAGTTCAGGTGAAGAACTGACCTTTCCCACTGCTGAGTCCCTGACCCTGGGGACAGGCCGGACCGAGTGCCGCAGAGAGAGCGCCCCCCAGGCCCCCCTGCCGATGGCATAGCAGTGCTTCACGAACAGCAGGCTGTCACCGGGTCTCTGCGTCCATGAAGCGTGTTCTGAGGCCCCAGCCTTATCTTTAGGTAGAATTAAAGTGCTTTGTAAGTATAGAGTGTACTCTGGGGAAAACAAGGATTAACTGAAAAAACAATGTTGTCGTTCCTCCAGAAATGCAGAGCAGTTCCCCGGCTCAGATGAAAGCTGTTGCAGCCACGGAAAAGGACAGCTCCAGGGCCAGCCTGCCCAAGGCCGGCCTTCCTGAGGAGCGGACCTTCAAGAACCCGCTCGCGGGCTCCTACCAGCAGATCAGCTGCCTGGACAGTGTCGTCAGGTGCGGCCCTTTGGCCTCCCTCTCCGCCCAGCTGCTCACACTGTGGGGTTCTCTGTTACATGAAGCCCTTTATCACCCACCCACAGGTACCTGGAGAGCTGCAGCGAGGCCACCACCCTGAAGAGGAAGTGTGAGTTCCCGGCACACCTCCCCACGCCGAAGGCCAGTGACAGGCGCAAGGCCACCGCCGGCCCCGGGCCACATGCCGCAGGTACCTGGTTCGCTTGAGCTGTTAACTGCGGGATAACTTAGACCCTCTCTGGTGGGATCAGGCGTCATTTGAGGTCCTGGAGCCCCTTTTTCCAGGTGGATTCTGAGCAGCTTCAGGGACACGGTATTGGGGTATAGGCTATTTTTTAAATGACCAGAGTAGCTCAGAACTTCTTATGAGCTGGAGATAAAGGTGGTCCTGGACTTTGAGGGCAGGATCCTGCGGGGCTGCTGGAGGCCGGGGCCTCTCGGGCTCTCATTCTTGGGCGTCTCAGAGGAGGCCTGGCCTCTGAGGGTCAGTGACCCCACGAGTCAGATGAGACCTCAGGCCCTTCAAACATGAGGGCGTTGCTGGCAGCCGCCACCAGGATCAGAAGTAGGGTCTCCCACTGTAGACGGAAGCCCAGGCGACCGGACAGCCATTCCCTGGTGGAGTCTGGCCCAGCCCGCAGGGAGGGAGCGCCACCTGCCTGCCTGCACTCAGCAGACGGGCTCCTGACTGCCGGGCAGCCCTCCCCGCAGGCCCACGGCAGAGGCCCTGACCCAGGGTGCCGCGGTCACCTGCCGCCTGCCGCCTCCCTCCTCCCAAAGGACTCAGGAGGTCAGAGTGGCGGCGTTCCCATTTCAGAATCTCCTCTCCGCCATCCCCTGTGAATAAACACCTGAGGACACAGTGTCACCTGCCAGGACATGTGCAGACTTGCAGCTGCCCCCCGCCCCTGCCCCCAGTACTGGGGCACTACCTAGGCCTCCGCACAGCTTATCCCGACAGTTCGTTTTTATCACATTTTTGTGTCTTGCTTCCATTTTCCCTTATAAAGAGACCACATCACTCTCCAAGGTGAACAGCCACACGGACGTCAACACGCACTTGACCTCGCTGACGCTGCCCAGCAAGGCACAGAGCGTGGTGTCCCTCACCAGCCAGTGCAGCTACAGCAGCACCATCGTTCACGTGGGCGACAAGAAGCCACAGCCTGAGCTCGGTACGCTTGCTGCTCCTTGGGTGATGTCAGGAGAAGTCGGACTTGAACGATAGAGATGAGAAGTCTTGACTGCCATCCTCAGATTCTCTTGAAGTTTATCCAAGTGTGGAGGTATAGCTACACAGCCCAGTAGCGGGGGTGCAGGAAATCCGTGCAGTGCCGGGCGGGGGCAGCCACACCTGTCCTGCCCCCACTGCGCTCTGGCTCCACCTGTGACAGGTGTCTGCTCAGGTGTCGATACGGAGGGGCCTCCCAGGACCGAGCAGGGGTCCCAGGACTCCCCCTTCGTTGGTGCCGAGAGAAGCCTGGGGACGAGCCCCCGCCCAGCATCCCGCTTCTTTGGATGGGATTACAAGCCTTGCCCTCCCCACCTGAGGACAGGAGCCAGTGCGGGTCGTAATAGCAGGACAACCAAGGGCATCACGCTGAGCTGTTCTTCAGATACCACGAGTAAAACGAATCCTGAATTCGTTCTTTGCTTGGAAGGGGGGTGTGATGAGGGCAGAAGTACACGTCAGAGAGTCAATGTCCAACCCCTTCCAGGACGGTCTGTGGTCCCACCCGCCCCATCCTGTCTGCACCCGCAGTTCCACTGGCCACACTGTCAAGCCCGTGATCCTGAGCCAGGATGAGGCCGTGCGCCAGCCTTAGCCTCTTTTGCTCTGAAAGCACAAGACAGCCTGGAGTGTCTTCAGCATCAGAGGCTGCAAAACCCCCGAGGTGCCCCAATTTAGAGGACTGATCCCAGAGCCCCCTGGGTAACGGGGCTTCCTACCCCTGCCTTTTGCCTTTTGTCATTAACTTCCTCAGAAAGCTAAACAAATACATCATGTTGTGGGCATGCTGTGGGCATCGTGAAGGAATCTTATCCCCATGCTGTGGGCATCGTGAAGGAATCTTCTGTGCGAATGATTTCTATTCTTCGTAGGTGCAGTATGCGTTTTTTCAGCCATTTTAAAATAGAAGGGCCCTTGCAGATGAGAGCTGTGCGTCTTCTGTTACAGAGACGGTGGGAGATGCTGCCAGTGGGCCCGAGTCTCTGGACTGCCTGGCGGGCTCCGTGCTGCCCTGCGGCCTTGGCCAGGAGCAGGGGCCCTTCCGGAAGCTGGGCCTCACCAAGGAAGTGCTGGCCGCCCACACCCAGAGGGAGGAGCAGAGCTTCCTGCTAAAGTTCAGAGAAATAAGAAAGCTCAGTGTCTTCCAGTCTCGCTGCCATTATTACTCGCAAGACAGATCCAAGGGGCAGTCGAGTGAAAGAGGTAAGTGGTAATGCCTGAACTAAAAGTGGATTTATTTTTTAACTTTATTCTTAATGCTACTGAGTCTAGCGCTGTTTTCAGAAGGCGAAATGTCCCCAGTTTGGGACACATGGGTTTGTAAGAAGCTGTTGGAACTTGACCAGTGATGTTCTCAAGGATGTCACTTTGTGTTCCCAAGGGAGCAGTGCTGTAAATAGTGGTGACAGTCCCAGCCCAGCCCCCTGTGGAATGCAGGGTGGGCAGTTGCAGTGCTGCCGTGCCAGACATTTCTTGCCTGGGTGACTTTGAGGGGCAAGAGACCCTACCCCACCTTTCCCACCCAGACAGGACCCTCAGAGGACCAGCTGGGCTAATGCACCGCCCAGAGAAGGAGCGTGGCACTGACAGGGGCGTTTGGTGTCAGGCCCCTGAGGGAGGAGGGAGCCCCGGATGACACTGTAGGAGGGAATGGCGCCCTTCTCCCCAGAGCACGTACGCTCCTGGCGGATTGGCCTCAGGGCCAGGCTGCCGACTCCAAGTCCGACAGAGCCCAGGGGTGCGTGAAGCTGCCCTTTAGGCTGAGAGCCATCAGGTGGTCAACGGGCAAGGGATGAAGTGCAACAGACGAGCTTCCCTGCCCCTTTTCTGGTCCAGGAGCCTGGCTCCCAACCCCCAGCCACCTTCCCAGGCCCCCCGGACAAGGCCGAGCTGATCAGAGATGTCGCCTCCTCCCTGGGCTCCCAGGCCGTGACACAGGGATCAGAGCTGAGAGCTAGTGAGCCCAGGGGACACACACCACGAGGACCCAGCTCCCCCTGGTCTCGGCAGACACACCGAAACATGTCCCGGAAGTGAGAGGCTGACGCTCCTTAAGGAGTTTATCTTTTCTCCTGTCCTCCTTTCCCTCTTCCTCCCCAGACCCAGGGTTACTGCCAGCGCATTGGGAACCTCTGTGGAAAGCAGGAAACGGTGCCCACACCACCGTAGCCCCGGCTTGGTGCAGAATTCCAGCCCCCCCTTGCCCCCTTGGCCGCGCATTTTGTGCAGTGCACAGACTGCACAGCTGTCCACGGCAGCCCTGCCCAGATCCTGGTGTGGCATCCCAGGAGCCCAGTGCTGTAGCTCCGGGTCCCAGTAGGGGGCAGATTTCCTGTAGGAAGAACACCAGGCAGAGAGGCTGAATGGCAAAACCTCCGCCCGCTTAGCAGTCTGCTTTGGGCTGGCCCATTTGCCTTTAGCATGTGGCACGGCCGGCAGGGGATGTCCTCGCACACCTGCTGCAGGAGCCCGGAGTTACCCTCTGTGACAGGAGAGGAAAAGCTGAGGTTCCTGGGACCCGTTCCATTGCCCACCCCACCCTTCCCCCCCACTCGGCATGACCCCCGAGCCCACAGTACTCCCAGCGCTGGCCGGTGCCCAGGGGAGGTGGCAGGGGACATGCCCAGGGTCCCTTATGTCACTGGGTGGAACCCCTCCAGCCTCCTGAGAAAGGCCCTCTCAGCAACACTCATCGTCAGAGAGGAAGACCTTGGTTCCAAGGGCGAGCGTTCCTTCGGCCCTTTGACTTCACTGGGCTGGAATCACAAGCTTTCTAAGCAGGAAACATCTCTTTTTAAGGAACAGCAGTGATAAAGCTCATAAAATTGACAAATAAGGTTACATGAGATCAGTGGTTCTTCTGCCTTTAAGGTTTCACAAACCGCTCTTGGGGAATAGCGTGGACTTGCCAGCTTTCTTACTGTTTTGGACAAATAAAACCTTCTTGATGCCACTTATCACTATCACTTCATGAAAGAAACGGCATTTTAATATGAGAAGAAAGCAAGGAATGTGATCTTGCAACAAAGGGTCCTTTAAATGGACTGAATCTAGTTTGATGAAAACCTAACGTCTGGCCCTGATTTTTCTCACATTCCTGAGGATCCGGGAAGACCGGGCGGTGGCCCCATGATCCCCAGGCTGGCGATGGGGAGGGTGGGACTGACTGTTGAACTGGGAGGTGCCTTCAGGTTTCTGAGGTTCTACAAATCTCTGAGAACTGACGTAACAGGAAACATAACATAATTTTTACATTTTGACTCTTGTTGTTCTCCCATTATTTTAGCTGCTCCCGGACTAAGAAATACCTCTGGAATAGATTCATCTTGGAAAAAAACGGGGAAGAACAGAAAACTTAAGTCCAAACGGGTCAAGCCTCGAGACTCCTCAGGGAGCCCTGGGTCCGAGGGGCCCCCGCCCCAGCGGCTGTCACTGGTGGGCCTGAATGCCACCGCCTGGTCACCGTCGGACACATCCCAGTCCAGCTGCCCCGTGATGCCCTTCCCCGCCCCGGTGCCCACTTATTCCCTGCCCGTGTATCCAGCCCCAGGGATAGTGCCAGCTCCAGGGACCGTGGCAGCGGCACCCGGAGCTCCCCACGCCGGCCTCGCGCTGCCCGTGGACACCCAGCGCGAGTTTGCGGTCCAGCCCCCACCGTCTGCCGGCCCCTTGGCCCCGGTCATGGCCCTGGCCTTACCCAGCCGCCCCTTCCCCCCGGTGACCCCGAGCCTGCCCCCCGCTTTCTTCCCCGGCCAGCCGAACTTGCCGTCCGAGGTGATTCCTGCCTCGCAGCCTGAGTTCCCTGGTCGGACCTCATCCCCCAAACAGCCGCACACGTGTCCCCCGGCAGAGCGCGGGCCGCCCGTGTCACACGTGGCCACCCAGGCCGCCCTGCCCTCAGCCGCGGGGTCCGCAGGCAGGACCTCGCCACCGCTCTT